CGGCGGGATGTGAGCTCGGTTTCGGTTCCGTCATGTTTGATGCCAGTGTTTGGCGGATCCGCAGCATCCGGGACTCTGTGAGACTCGAGATCAGCGACGAACCGAGTCCTGCGGTGCTGAACCGATTCACTCATCTGGATCCGGACACTCCTCAGCTGGAGGTAGAAAGAATCATCAATACAGATATTACTCCTCTCTCATATAGAGTGATAATAATAATCAAATGTATTACAGAAATATCATTTTAAATTTGTACTAATCCGCAGAAATAAGCAAAAACATTTGTGGATGTTGCCCTGTAATGCACACTTTGTTATCAGTTATAATATCTTTTCATAGTTACACATTTTGAACTCCTTACAATTTATGATCAGCTACAAATGTTGCATTTTTATGTCACGTGTTACAGTAGAGCTATTTCTGATACATTATAACGTTGAGGTGAAACAATGATTGTGTGAGTATAAGAATGGTTACAATTATAAACAAATAATGGATTGGACATGCGTGTGTTATTCAGCATTATTAACAGCTTTACAGTGAATTATATACAGGCATGAGGTGTTACTGTAAAAAGAAATATGATAATGAAGACTTGAGTTGATATTTGTGATGTACTAATCCGCAGAAATAAGCAAAAACATTTGTGGATGTTGCCCTGTAATGCACACTTTGTTATCAGTTATAATATCTTTTCATAGTTACACATTTTGAACTCCTTACAATTTATGATCAGCTACAAATGTTGCATTTTTATGTCACGTGTTACAGTAGAGCTATTTCTGATACATTATAATGTTGAGGTGAAACAATGATTGTGTGAGTATAAGAATGGTTGCAATTATTTATAAACAAATAATGGATTGGACATGCGTGTGTTATTCAGCATTATTAACAGCTTTACAGTGAATTATATACAGGCATGAGGTGTTACTGTAAAAAGAAATATGATAATGAAGACTTGAGTTGATATTTGTGATGTTACTGAAGGAGACGGTCACATCACTTAACTTCACTCTTTTCTGATGTCTGTCTGCCAGTATTTCCCTGCATGCACTGCAGCTGAGTCGTGTGTGGGTTTCTGGTTTAAAATGATTCTGTGATGTTTGTGTACGGTGAGTCTGTGCGGATGCATACTCGTATCAGATATTCCTGAGTTAGAGATGGGTCTATACACTGTGTCTATACAGTGACGCTGCAGATGCATTACTCTGTGCAAAGCACTCTGGGTAACGTCTGAGCTTTATTTGTCTTGTTGCAGGATTGTGAGGAAACCTGAATCCTGTTTGTTTCCTGAAGAAGCGTTTCTAGATCATATTTAAAGAGGTCAGAGGAGGAATATGAGTTTGAGGTCAGAAACGCCAGCGTCTCGTGAAGATGTGTTTGGGTCTGATGCTTCCTCAGACTGGTTAGTTGACCAGCTGGTGATGAACTGGTTAGTTGACCAGCTGGTGATGAACTGGTTAGTTGTGGAGTTCTGCAGTGGTTTGTAGAGATGAAAACACACAGAGACAGTGATTGTGTAACTTGTTTTCTGTGAGTCTTTGTGTTTCAGTTATTGATCTGTTAATCACAGAAGCTTCCTGAAACACGACACACGACACACCTCACATCTCTCTCTCTCTCTATGTGTGTCTCTCTATGTCTCTCTCTCTCTCTCTCTCTCTCTCATGCAGCAGATGCTTTTTATCCGGAGCATCTGACTCTAATAGGTTCAGTTCTCCTAAAGTAAGCCGAGGTTAAACGAGTCGCGGCTGTAGATCGTGCAGCGTTAGAGACGAGCGGCTCGGGTTTATTGATCTGAATAATAACAGCTCTTATGAATCAGAGAAGCTGTTAGAGACAGATGGAGTTAAAGCTGTTTTAGACCTGAAAACAAACCTGCAGCTGCTTACTGATTCTACATCAGAGAACAGACAGAGTGATGTGATACGAGCCCTGAACTGGTTTAGATGCATGTTCATATCAGTGTTACTTTTGTATATATGAGATGTTAGTTGTTTTAGAACATGAAGATAATTCATCAATAATTAATCATCAACCCGTCTGTTTGAGGACTAGTGGAATAATGCTAAAACTCACTGACGCTTGTGTGTGCGTGTGTGTGTGTGTTTTTGTGTGTCCATGTGTGTGTGTTTTTGTGTGTCCGTGTGTGTGTGTGTGTGTGTGTCCGTGTCTGTCTGTGTGTGTGTGTGTGTGTGTGTGTCTGTCCATGTGTGTCTGTCCGTGTGTGTGTGTCCGTGTGTGTGTGTGTCTGTGTGAGTGTGTCTGCCCGTCCGTGTGTGTGTCTGTGTGAGTGTGTCCGTGTCTGTCTGTGTGTGTGTGTGTGTGTCTGTGTGAGTGTGTGTGACCAAATGTCCCCACAAGGATAGTAAAACCTGACATTTTTTTTAATTTTTGAGGGAAACAAATGATTAAAAATAGTAAATGATGTTTATCTGAAAGTGTAAGAATGCAAACAGGTTTTCTGTAAGGGGTAGGTTTAGTGTTAGGGGATAGAAAATATCGTTTGGTCAGTATAAAAGTAATAGAAGTCTATGGAAAGTCCCCACAATTCACAGAAACAAACGTGTGTGTGTGTGT